ACATCTCATTCACTTATTCATTTAATTCTAGAAAACATTCAAATGATTTATTACAGTCAGGTGTTTAGTTTCTCTTACCCTCTTTTGCCGATGTTAAGCAGGTTTCCCACCATCCTGAGCAGCACCTCGGTGGTGCTGATGGCACTGTAGTAGTCTGCCGTCACCTGGTGGCCGATGAGGTACTCGCACTCCTTGGCTGTCAGCTGCTTGCCTTTACCAAAGGCATCAATGTAGACAAAGTCATAGATGTCCTCACTCCTGCAGGAACAAAGTTACATTAATCGAATATGTAAAAATAGCCATCCATCACAAATTATGTTTTAATAACCAAATGTAGGTTTTTGTTATTGCCCACCTACTATCGTTAAATTAAAAGCATGAATAGTTTGGCTGCTGAAGACTAGAGAAGGGGAAAATATTAGCCATGTGCCAGTTAGCATGCACCAATGTAAGTACACAGTATTTCCAATATGGTGGGCTGTTGAAATCATAATGCCCCAGGGTCAGCTGATGCATAGTACGTCCAATTCAAGTAAAACAAACCTGGACATGGAAAGATAAAGTAAAATACAAATATTCCCTATACTACCTTTCACCAAAATCTATTAAAAAACTAGATTGTGTGTTTATACTCAAATAATATGTGGAATATGTGGTTGTTTCAATATAGTTAACTGGTTATTCAAGCTCTGCTCTCCTCCAGAAATGAACAATGTGAATGACAGCTCTACTTTTAGACAGTGTTTAGAGGAATTTGAGAAGCTATTAATTTCTAACCGTACCCTCTTGGTTTTTGGCACCAGCGCAGCAGGAAGTGATTGGGGAAGTTGACCGGTTCCAGCTGAACACCAAGCTTCCGGGCTAATGTCATGTAGAGGACAGAGAGACTTATGGGAATGCCTGTATGGCGTAGTAGCACCTAAATGAAAATCAAGAAGGCCCAGTCAGTTCTAAAATCAAATATGTTACGAAATGATTGAAAAGCGTGTAACTTATTTTATACAAGACCTACCTGGTGGATGTAAGAATTGAGCGGGTTGTAGTAGTCAAACTCGTTGCCTTTGTATTGAAGCTGCTCATACAAGACAGAGTTTAGGGCACACACCACCTGCCTCTGGAGTTCAAAGTCCTCCACGACAAAACAGTCACCTACATCACACACAAGAAATAAAACTTCTTAAGAACTTGGCTGAAAGGGAAAATATGGATCTTGTGAGTTTGCCCAAATATACTGGTATAGATTTTTTTCTTCAACCTCTGCTGGGAATAAAAGCCCATGCCCTTAAGCTTTAAGTGTCCAGTGCTGATGCATTTTGGAAAGAAACAAAAAACTGGGGGCAAGCACAACAACAAGTCCCAAAAAAGCAACTCATTTAGAGTTTCGCTAGTTTTGAAAACCCACCTTGAGCGACACGCAAGCTGGGGTGAGAGGGGTTCTTGATTCTCAGCATCTTCTTCACTTTCTCTGCGATCTCGTCAAGCTGGGCTGATATGCTGTTCAGGGTTACATCAGCCAGTGGGTTACAATACTGATCCACCAGTACAGCACCTACAGGAGGGGGGGGGGGGGGAAGACCGAGAGTGGCAAGGCATAATATAAACCTGCCTGTATCGACTTTAAACAACAAAACACAAACTAAATGTCTACTTGCTGTTGTGCAAGTGGGTTATATTGCTTCTGTGACAACAAACACTATACTAATAAACACTAAGTAACAAAAAGATATCTATTTGTATATACATGTCGAAGCTAAACAGTGCAACTTGAGTTCTTTGGACATTAAGTGTATGCATGTACGCCTCACCCTCTAAAGAGGACTGCTGGTCTGCAGGCTGCTCCAGGAAAATCTTCAAACTCTTCAGAATATTCTGCTGTCTCAGGAAGTAAAGGATTTTCTTTGCATAGTACTTCAATGTCAAGCTTTTCCTAATGGATGGGCACAGAACAGAAGAGAGAGGCATTGGTCCAATGGTGCAGCACAACAAGAGCGTTCAGAATCGCAGGGGATTAACAGGATCAACACAAAAAGCCATTAATGGCCGCAAAATGCAACGTGCTGCAAGTGTCTGACTGTGGGCACAGTGTCGCTCTCACCTCTTGTCAGAGTTGAGTATGAAGAGGAGCTCGTCTTCACAGAAGTGCTCCGGCATCCCAAGTGACTCAATCTCTGCAAAGCTATCTCCCAGCACCTGGCCAACGCAAGGCTGTGTTACAGATCTCTGGGTTAGTTTGGAACATAGAAAAAGCACACAGTTTCTTGAACATGCACCCACACACACACACAAACACACACATCACACACACACACACACAGAAAAGGCCAGCCAATTCACAGAGAAGAGATTTCTAGTTATTCAAATGACGCATCTGCAAAGGAAGTATTTAACTCTGTATTTAACCAAGACTAATGTCACAGCATAGTAATAAAGATAATGTTTCCTCGATTACAAATGGATTACTTACAACTTCTGTGAAGAATCTCTTTGAGATGGATTCCACGGTCCTTCGTATTTGTATACCAACTCTATGGCGTGTTTTGTATTCTCTGAGCCAGTCACAGCACTCATTCTGACGGTAGAACCTCTGCAGTCTGGGCCATCTGTTGACGAAGGCATACAAGTTGTTAGTTCAGCAACACCATTGGCCATGCTCAGAATGAGTTTAGCAGCCTATTGCCTGAAGCAGCATGTGACATGTCTATGAAACAATTTGTCATTCTGCTGCAGACTTGGGTTTTTTCGTTGCACAAAGAAAAGCAATCGGGAGTAGCAGCCAAGTCAGTCAGAAGGAGGGCTTAGCTTTTTGGCAGGAGCAGTACTTTCCTGTAGTTCACAGGCTACATGCAACATTCAAGGTCACACTAATTCATTTTTGGCTGTTCTGGGTAAAATTGAGTACAAGTTGCAATTTGCGAGAGGTTTAAACACTCAGCTTTACTAGCTTCAAAGTTGCCTGCAGAGGAAAAGCTTGCCACCGGCCTGGCGTGATGGTAAATTTGGTGCATCAGCAGAATGTCAGCGGCTGACAGCTGCCTGTGAGTTCGCATTAAACGAACCCAATGAGAGATTCAGGGCTCTTATGCAAGACGGATTCAAAAAGCACAGGGAGACTCGTTTGGGCAGATGGTGGTGAAAACCCACCAGGAGCCAAAACTCCAAAGATATAACGCAACAAAAATAATCATTGCACCTGAGTTTGTACTGATGTCCCCAGACCTTCCCCCTTCCATGGCAAACGTCGTGTAGCCGCTTGCAGCAGCAGGAGACGTTACAAATGTCGACATGTTTGAGGACGGGGAAGCACAGGATGTGTTCGAGCAACTCAGTCGGCAGGTCCGTCAGTTTTTTAGTTTGGGGCTCGCAAATAATCCCATTTAGACTTGGTTGCCCCTCTCCGGCTACATACGTCGCCATCTTTACTGTTTACCCCGATTACCTCATTGCTGAGACACCGCCCCTTTATGGCGCAGGGGGCAGAGCTATGGGCGGGGCATAGGAGGTGTACTCCTTTGTGATTGGTTGTTGGGTCAAGAGGAAAAGGGAAGCTATGCTACCTTCATGCTCCCCGGATACTTAAGATTGTATCTATTTTTTTTTTTTTTCAATTTACAGAATATAATATATTTACAAAGAGGAATGCACATTAAATTCTTCAAAAGTTAAAAGAAATTGTTTTTAGGTACTTAACTTGTTTCACCAGCGGAACAGGTGTTCTCTGTCAGTGTCAATTAGATCTGTCTTCTGCAGAAGATACTGTAGTCAGTTGGTATAACAGAAAACAAATGTATGACTGATAAAAAAAATAATTAGGTTTGCACAACTATTATTTTCATTATTATTTATTCTGTAATTTAAGAGGTCATAGACAGTGCCAGAGATTGTGTTATATCATATTATAATCGATTAATAACTTGATTTTATTTTATTTTTTATTTGATTAAATGGTGCCATACTGTATGAATTCATTAATAAAGTTCATGAAACGTTGCTTGATTCCTTGAGGCCAAATTTCTTATGAAAGTTGAATTTTAAATTTTAGGATGTTCAATCAAAGACAAGCAGATTCTTACGATTGGAAAGTTAGAACTAGGGAATGTTTGGCATTTTTCCTTTACCCTAACAGTTAAAGGATTGTCAAAATAGTTGCAGATAAGGTTCCTGTTGATTGATCGATCGATTAAGCAACTAATCAATTTACTTCTAACAACAATTTCTCCCCTAGAATTTCATTTGTTCTGACTTACCTTTTTAAAATTGTGTTTACTCTAGGATAAAGTGGTCAGAAAGAAAGTCAGGAAGCGAAGGAAAGAAATTGCAGCCAAAGATTAAGCAAATAATTTCAAATATAAACATACAAGTATAATGATAATACAATAAAACATTTTCATCAACGTGTTCGTCCAGATATAGTATTTTAATGTCAGAGCGCGCTGTGAGACAACAGGCTCCTTTCTGTCATCACGTTAAAGTCGTTAATGTGCGCTACTTCTTCACACGTCGTTCCACACGTCCCCCTTCAGACGTCTTCTGCGCACCTTTCTCTTCTTATCTTTCTTATCTTTATCTAT